CTGTCTCTTGTTGCTTTTAGGATTCTGTCTTTATCTGTAACCCTTGCCATTTTCACTATAATGTGTCTTGGTGTGGGCCTGTTTGGGATCATCTTGGTTGGAACTCTCTGCACTTCCTGGGCTTGTGTGTCAATTTCCTTTGCCAGGTTAGGGAAGTTTTCAGACATTATCACTTCAAATATATCCTCGATCCCTTGTTCCCTCTCTTCTCCTTCTGGTATTCCTATGATGTGCATATTGCTGTGCTTGATGTTACCACCCAGCTCTCTTAAACCATTTTCAACATTTTTTCTTTTTTCTTTTTGTTGTTCCGCTTGGATAATCTCTGCTCTCTTGTCTTCTAAGTTGCGATTCGATCCTTTGCTTCATCCAATTTGCTGGTAATTCCTTTGAGTTTGTTCTTTATTTCAGTAATTGTATTCTTTATTTATTATAAAGAATTGTATTCTTTAGTTCTAACTGGTTGTTTTTCATGATTTCTCTATCCTTCTTTATAGTCTCACTAATTGCCTTGAACATTCTAATCATCAGTGTTCTAAACTCTGTCTCCAATAGGTTGGTTGCCTCTATGTCATCTTGTTCCACTGATTCGGGAGGTTTCTTCTGTTCTTTTATTTGGGCTGTCTTTCTTTGTTTCCCCATTCTGGCTTACTCTTTATGCGTGCTTCATTGTATTAGATAGATCTCCTAGGTCTCTCAGTCTTTGCTGGGTGGGCTTATGTGGTATGTGTCCTTTATATTTGAATTGCTCAGTCTCCCTATTCTCCTGTGCATGTGTTCCAGAGTTGTCCCTTGTGTTGTGTGTCTTCTCCTGTTGAAGTTGAGCTTTGATTGCTTTTGGTTTGTCAGTAGGTAGGATTGACTCCCAGGCTGACTAGTTGTGAGGATTGGCCATGTCCACAGTGTGTGAGCTGTTGTGTGAGGGCTGAACCCTCAGATGAGGCTTGGCCCCTATGGGCTCTAGTGCCTGTAGAGATTTCTCTTTGGGTGTGACTCTTGTAGGTCAAACCCAGTAATGCCCTGGTTTGGTCTAAAGTTGGCCCTCTGGGTGTGATGATTTCTGTGCCTCCTTGGATGGGCCCTGCTGCAGAGCGATTTTAGAACAAAATGGATCAACAAGCAGAGCAACAACAGACACAAAAAGAAACCAGATACTCTCACATGTAAACAACTAGCAGCCTTGTTTTAAACTATACTAAAGAGGTGTTAAAGATAAAAAACAACACTCAACATGCACAGCAGTATCAAAAATACAAAAAAACAAAAACAAAAGAAACAAGACAAACAAAATAGCAACACCAAAGGAAAAAAAGAAAACAAATTGCAGAAAAAATGGAAAGAAGGAGGAAAAGTAGAGCAGGGAAAAGAAAGAAAAGGGAGAAAGAAGGGGGAAAAGAATATATATATGTCTACACACCTATATGTATGTATGTATACACACACACACACACGCACATATAGAAAAAACTACAAATGATAATAATGAAATAGAAAAACAAAAACAACCAAAACAAAACAAAACAAAAAAAACAGTGCCAGTCTTGGCTAATGTCCACCAAGCTATCTCCAGGTTGTCCTCTGCTGTGCAAAAACTCCTCTGCATCTTGTGGGGGCAGAGCCAGCCACCTGGCGCCCAGAGTGACCGTGGCAATGCAGGTCTAGATGAGTGGAGCTATGGGGTGTGGTTGGTAGTTTTTACAAAGTCAGTGCCGTTTCTGCTCTCACCTGCCCAGAGGCGCGCTGAGAGCTCCACAACCAGAAGGCTGGATGTGCGTCTTAGGGCACTCTTTCCACCGGGGGCTATGAGGGGTGTGAGATTTCTGAGATGCTAAAAGCCCAGCAGTGCCACCCTCTGCTGGGGTCCTGCGAATGACTCAGCAGCTGAAGTTGCCCTGGTGGGAGCCTTGCAGAAAAGGTCAGGTCGGGGAAGGGTAGGCAGCCTCACGCTTTTTGCAGTCTCTCCCCTACCTTTTTCCATTTCCTGGAAGTCTGATCACCTCTGTAATCTGACACTACTCCATTCAGGGATCAGTTTAAGACTCTGGAATGGCTGGGCTAGGGTTTCTGAGGGAGGGTGGGAGTGGGGGTTTATTTATGGAGTTGTTTTTGCTGTCTGCAAGAGCTGCACCGTAGTTTTGAGCTGAGGCTTCTGCCGCCAGGCACCACAAGCTCTTGCTGAACTCCCAGCAGGACTGTGGGGTGCAGGGAGTGAGCCAGTGGCCTTGCTGCTGTAGCAATCTCTGATCTGCTTCCTGGGGCCCCACGTTTCTACTGCCTCGCGCACTGATGCATCTCCGCACACCTCCCTTCCCTCTACCCACACTCTCCCGGTTTGCCCACCTTCAGGTAATCTCGTGTGAGTCTCTTAGCTGTTCTGTGTGATGAGCAGAGGTTTCTCTGATGAGTTATAGCTGTTCAATTTGCGGTAATTTCCAGGTGAGAACTCAAGGAGCCCGCCTCACTGCCACCATTTTTATGATGTCTCAGAGTTTTGCATGTTTAAAGAAACACATGAGAAGGCACACTCAAGGGAGATGGTACCCTGAGGGAGCCTGGGTAGTCGGAAGGAAACCCATAGGTGCTGTCATCTGAGGAATGTGAGATGAGGCCGTTCTTCTGAAGAGAGATGGAGATAATGAAATTATTAATAAAGACTATTAACTTTGTCTTCTTAATAGCTGGTATTCCTAAGCTTCACCTAGGATTATGTCTTCTATTATGTCTTCAGGTTCCAGTGACAAGAACACTTGTTAGATTCAGTTAAGCTCAAACATTTATTGAACACATACATATGCAAGACGCCGTACCAGTCATGGGTATAAAGATGTATGACATGCTCAGCCTTCACGATGCTTATAGTCTTATGTCTCATTAATAATAAAAACAAAGAAAGATGGTGAAATAAAAAGGCAAAAACAGAAATAATAAGGCTAGTTAGTTTTAATGGCTGGTGGCTAAGTGGCAGATAAGGACAACTGTTGGTATATAGTACATAGCAAATGAACTATAGGTTTTAAGAAATTTCAGTCTATCCCTGAGGAGGTATTTGAAATTTTGTCAATCCAGAATGTACAGGCAAAGGTGTAGGGACTCTTCTGGGTTTGCAGCAGCTCACAAAAGAGAAACAAATTTCTCTACATATGCTTGATCAGAGAATGGCAGGGGAGGCTATTTTAGTCAGTTGAACACATATTAATACCAGTATTCACGTCAGGCTGTGTGTGGCTACTGGGGGAAGTCCGTTTACCTTGGAAGAAGGGATGCCGGTTGCAGTACTGAACTGGTAAGGCCGCTTCCTTTTGCCTAGGTTGGAAGGGCAGAAGTAGATGTCCATGTCCTGTCCAGGAACAGGCAGTCACATGGGTTAAGACAGGAATGCAGGCAGGTAATTAGTCCCGGGAAAGTGTTCCTCTAAGTAATTACATGGAAAGAGTACGTAGATGATGAGTAAAAGAATTACAACATCTGGCATTCTAGTGAGTCTACAATAAAGGTGTTGGGAAACTTGAAGCTTGAAAGGGAAGTAAAGGCTTATATTCAATAAGAGAGCTTCAGTAATTTTCTTATCTTTTTCAATTCTATAGCAGACATCAGTTTGGATATATCAAAGCCGTTGAAAGCAAACCTGAGTTTTACCAAGCTGGATCAGATAAACCATTTTTTAAAAAAGATAAAAAGTGCACACAGCAAAGAGACGTCAGTCCTGGCCGACACCACGCTGCCGAAGGATGAGCTTCCAGCCTCCAAATGTTACCGAGGGAAATTGTCTAAACCAAAAGTTCATGGTGATAGAGCACAAAAGGTTCCATTTCAAGAAAACATTTGGAGAACTGTCTCCTGCTTTCAAAAAATTTCTGTCCATACTACTCAGATTGTGGTCTCCATGGAAACTGTCCCCCATCCTGAAAAACCATGCCTGTTAGCATCTTTATCAACTCTCCGTGGGAGCCTGAATGTCAAAGCAGCACAGAAAGTACCTGGTAAGTCACCAAAACGGGGAGAGGGAGATAACGGCATAACTTGTTAACATCTGAAAATGCATCATTTTGATGATTTATATTATTAGGAGGTTAAACGTTTTAAGAGCCATTAGCGATGGGGGCATTTCTGGTTTGTGACCTTAGTTTAGAGAAAATTTTATAACAAATCCTTTGAGCTTAAGTATTTTGATGCCCTAAACTAAACATTTCCTATCCACCTCTTTAGACATGTTCCTACAAATGTCTTTAAAACTGTTTGTGCCTAAATTTTTTTTTTACCTAAAATAGCTATAGTGGCACAACAAGAAATGGTTTTTATGAACCATTAGAGCAGTGGTTCTCAAGGAATGGTCTCAGAACCAACAGCATCAGCATCACCTGGGAACTTGTTAGAAATGCAAATTTTCAGACCCTACCCCCTGACCTACTGAATCAGAAACTCTGGGTATGGAGCCCAGAAATCTGTTGCAAAAGCTCTACAGGTGATGCTGGTACGCTACGTTAAGTCACTGGTAGCACCTGATTTTAAAAAAGAGAAATTGCCCTAGTGGCAGGTATGCTACACAAAGTGTAATAGAAGTCAGGGTTCAACTCTGCAAGGACAGTGCCACTGAGGATTATGGGGTAGCAGCTACTGGCCAGGAAAGGCTGTGCTTCTGTGCTTAGCCTGGCAGAGAGGCAGGGACCTGTGAACTGAAAGTTGATGGGTGGTGAGGTGAGAAATGAACAGGCAGTGACATCTACATTTTCCTCCTTTGTTACAATGACTAAATTGTTACGTGCATTTTCACACTGAATCAAAAAGGGTAGGCCAAAGGAATGTGAGAAGGGAAATAGAAAAGACAGGGCACAGGTGGAAAATAACAGTTTTCAATCACTGAAACTGCTACTGTGAAAGTTCAAGGCACAATGCCAGAAATTTTCCTTTGAAAGTAAAAGTAGCAAAAGGGAAACGTTTTTTTTCCACTTTAATTTACAGGAAATCATTGGGGATAAAGGCGTAGTGCAGGGGATAAAAATAAACCCTGAAATGATATGCAACTTAGTTGCTTACTAAAAAGTAATTAAGTGGCAGCTGGAGCCTAACTGTACCTTAGTTCCATAGAGCCAGTTTGGGCACAGTAGTTTAAGAGATAAAGAAAAATTTTATAGTTGAGAAGTATGAATTTTAGGCCAAAAAATAAATGATTTATTTCTTTCTCACTAGAAATATTTGTAACCAAGCCAGCTAAAAGCACTGTATTTTTTTTAATTGTCTTAAAAGTTAGAAATGAAAAATGTAAGGTCCGTGGGACTTGAAAGATTATGAAACACTGGAGGCTAAAATGTCTGTTTTATCCACAAATAAATTGCAACCCAGACAACACTGGGTTTGTTCCCACGCCTTTCCAATTGTACCTTAATCATATAGCAAGGAAGGTTGGGACTCAGAGTGAAAGAATTTAAATACTCTAGATCTTCTTCTTTTTTTCATCCATATTCCTTGTTTTATTCATTAGCTACTCATATTTTATCCACGTTTAATTGTATTTATCCTAGGTAACCATCTCTAAAATATGATTAAAATCCTCTCACTGAGCTATACAAGGTACTAGACTCATTCTGTTTTTGTAACTTGTTTTTTTTCCTCTTCATACTAGAAAAACTATGTACCTTATACCTCTGCAATTATGCTCTTAAATCTAAACACAAAGTAGAAACTATAGCTTTGACTCAGACACAAATTATACAGCTCTAACTATAGTTTCAGCAAATATTCTAAAATAGTTGAGTCAACAAACCAAAACAAATTAAGTGGACCATTTAATAGGAACAATTTTTTTGAGAGCAGAACAAACACCAAATCTGTTTTCTTTACATTTCTGCTTAATGTAATGGCATGCTCAAACATTTAAGACGATAACAAAGTCAGCAAACTAATAATAAATGATAATTAAGTGAATTGAGATTGTGTGAAGTTCTAGTTATTGCTGAAGGCTGATTTCTAGGAAATTGTAATTGAGAGATTATTACATATTCTTTCAAAAATTCATTTTTAACTAAGCAAAACTTTTTAGAAGTAAAATACAATTTAAGCTTTGAACGTTAATTTTGTTGTATAGTTGAATATCTTAAAAACGCATGCTTTGCAAATTGGATGAAATATATGCAAATATATATTCAAAGTATATTTTTGATAAGTTGTAAAAATAACCCCCTCAAAAAAAAAGGAAAACTTCCTACCAGTAGTCATATTTCTTTTTGTATTTTTCAAGTGACATCATTTTGCATTCAACCAAAAATTTTTGAACTATATCTTTGAGCTCAACAGAGTTAATGTCAGATTTTTATAGTTTGAATCTAATACAGAAATACTTAACTGTGTCTTTGATTTTACAGTTTATATAACTATTGTGGCCATCTGCAGCAGCTGCACTTTTCAAATTATTTGCTGAACCAAATTGAGCACAGTGACAAAAGTAGTCATCTCAGATGTACTATTAAACAGAGAAAGGAAAAGGAGCATTGCCGTGGTACAGTATAGCCATCTGCTGTACAGATGTTATTGTATAGAATGACTTAAGATAAAATAATTGTAGAAAATTTTCATTAAAACCTCAACAATTTGCACTTGTTTATGCGAATCTGCATAACTCCCCAATGAGACAACACACTTGGGGTTTCTTTGGTTCTCACTCACTTTCTCTTTGATCCTTTTTGATGTGCTGACTTTAATAAACACAGTCAAAAACACTGCGCAAAAACATCATGGAAAAAACTACAAAGGAACAATTATAGCAGCAGAAACTACTCTAATCCCTAACTTACGCAAGCTATTTTTAGGGAAATATTTTTTTTAACACTCTTTATGTGACAATGTTATATAAACAGGGTAAAACAGTCCTCTCCAGATGAGTTTTAATTTAGAAGCTGAAATAGATTTGTAATGCTCGAGGAATCTTATGTTCTAAGTAATATTTAGAGAAACACAATTGGGAATGTGTCGTAGGCATGTTTCCTCACTTCTGAAAGGTACAAAAATATTTGAGTTTGCCTAATGATTGTATTTTTTATCATCTAAACTGTCATAAGCTTATGGGAAGTGTATGGAAAAGGGAATAATAAAAGAGTGAAGGGAGAAAGTTAATTTTCTTCCCAAGAAATTGTCCATACATTTAAATCTGAAATGCTTTCATAGTCATTTACTGGTTTTACAACAAAATACGTACAGATTAGTCACTGAAATGTTTTCCTTGTTTGAAACAAAATGAAATGGTTAAATATTTTCTTCCCCCTTTAAAAAAATCTACGAGTTTTTCGTAGCCTCAGTACTGTTCTATAACCCTCAACTATGAGAGTTTCAACCAACTTAATTTTTTTTTAATTCCACTCTGTAGATGCTAGTGTACAGTGACTTATAATAACCAAGCTTGTATTTCAGCTAGAACACTTATGTCCTCCTGTATGTCTTCAGTAAAAGGGCCCTAACGTTGTGATTTTAGTAGACGTAATGCTTGTATTTTTAAAGTTGGTGTATAATACTGCCAAAAAAAAACAAAAAAAAAAACCTATGGTTGTGTTATCAATAACAAAACAAAACTCATTTAGAAATTATATCTTATTTTCTGAATCATTTTAAGGCAGATAATATTTCTTCTGCTGTCCATTAAATCCATCCCATTCTATAGTATGTTCTTTTAAAAAACAACCCCTTTTCTCCCCACATACACAACAACACAATCTTTTTTGCCATTTGAAGTATGTCGCTATAAATTCTGAACTAGCAGTGTAGCACTTTCCACAGGCAGGGTGGGGAGTAAGCTGTAGACTTTTGCTCCCCTTGTCAGAGTAAATTATGGCTCTATCAGGGCTGTACTCCTCAGAATTCGGCAAACAAGGGTGCATAATTCAGCTGTTCTTTAGCCTGCCTTGCTCTTTCCCAGCGACACTTAGATTATCAAGCTCCATGTAGATTAAGGAAAGGGGGACTAGGATATGAACGAGTTAGGTAGCACAAAGGGCTGGGGGAAGAGCCTAAATCAGGCCATTTTGGCTGGCATTTTATTCAGAATTGGGAAAAAGGTACAAGGATCCGCTTTTCAACAGGACCAAGGAGACTCTACATCCATGCAGAATGCAACGAGTGAAACTCATTCTAGTCAAAGAGCTGTGTTTTAAATAACTTTCACTACCCCAGCCTCTGTCATCCAGATGTACTTATCTTTGTATATAAACAAAAATAGGGAAAAAAGCATAACTATATTATTTCTCACACATACAAACGCCTCCTCTCATGTTCACTGAATTCAGGACCAGTAAAACGTAAAGAACCTAAAGTTCCTTTTCATGTACTGAAAAGTGAAACCAGGTCATTAATTGATACAAGTGGAGCTGCAGCTTTTCATTCCATAGTTAACTGGATTTCCTGAGGAATATCTCTTACGGCGTTGTCATAGTCCATAGGATGCTCCTGAGACACAGGTGAGCCTGAGGGGAAATAAAGCATTAAATTAGATATGACTACCTAAAACAGTATGTTCCAATAACAGGCAATTTATAATACCCCAAAGACTATTGTTGCTTTTATTAAGAAATAGCATTTCTTTCCAATGCCTAAACAATAGGAAATGAGTTCTTTGACAGTTAAATCCAGAGGAAAACTTAACTTTTAAGCAGCTACTGAGGATTGAAGTGGAAGTACAGCTTGTAGACAGCTAGACAAATCACTGACCAACCTTAATGAATACTGGGTGTGGGCACCCTGGTCTTGTCATTTTTGACACTATGTCCCAAGTAGCTTAAACCCAACACTCAAAGAAAGGTAGAGACCTCATTGGGTCTATAATATATAGGGGATTTCATTTGTCATTTTGGTATACCTCGCAAGCGCAAAAGAAAGAGTAAAAGGGGATTATCTTGACAATGAAATGAGTTACTGAATCTTGTGATAATGAAAAGCAGAAGAATTCTAATTCCTTTCTATAGTCCCTGAGGAAGAGGTACATTTATAGTTTTGCAAA